GTATCATTAAAATTTAGTTAAATTTAAAAAGTCTTACAAAATTACTTTATATTATTTAATAAAATAATAAATAATCATTACAAAGCATTTTCGGTTTCGGTTTTCGGCCAAGTGCATCCAGAATTCTCGGTTTCTGTTTCGGTCCAGAATTTTCATTTCGGTGCATCCCTAGATGTAAGACTGCATGTTTTATTTAAAATAATTTAAATTGAACAGTAATTTACTTTCAAATGCCCCAATTGCTGAAGGGTCTGCACAACTTTTTAGTATAATTTCAAGTTGCACTGTTCAAAATACCTGTAGTAGCACAGCAGTGCATACCTGTTTACATTTATTTAAGGTGGACTAGATTAGACTGTAATACAAATAGTTGAGTTTGCCAGGTGCATACAACATTTATGACAGGTTTTCATGAAAGTGTTGGTCAGTTTGTCTACTTGACAATCCCATTTTGCACTGCAACAATAAAACTGAAGTGAGATAAACAAACTGAGAAATATTTTGTTTTAGTTAAAACGGATGTTGTCAAAGTTTTCCTTTGGGGACATAATTTGAAGTTGGAAAAAGGTAATAAATTGCAATATATCGCAGAATATTGCAATATATTTAAAATCACAATAATATTGTATCGTGACACAAGTATCGTGATAATATCGTATCGTGAGGCCTCTGGTGATTCCCACCCCTACTGTCTATGGGAGGGCCAGAGAGTCAAGTCAAGTCACCTTTATTTATATAGCGCTTTTAACAATACAGATTGTGTCAAAGCAACTGAACAGCATTAATTAGGAAAATAGTGTCAATAATGCAAAGTGACAATAGTAAACACTCATTTTTCAGTTAAAGACAGTTCATCATTGAATTCAGTGATGTCAACATCCAGCTCAGTTTAAATAATATCTTTGCAATTATGTCAACGATATCGCCGGAAATGAAGTGAGAGCTCTCGGAATGCATCAAAAATATCTTCATTTGTGTTCCGAAGATGAACGAAGGTCTTACAGGTTTGGAACGACATGAGGGTGAGTAATTAATGACAGGATTTTCATTTTTGGGTGAACTATCCCTTTAATACTGACATTAAAACAGCATTGACTTGTATAATTTGACATTTTCTGAGTAATACTGAATATTCATGGGGAAATATGTCGGAAATATTTTCATTTATAATAATATTGATTGATATCTGTCCACTTGGCAGAAATTTCAATGAAATGCTTTATGATAAATGAACAGTTAAACTTTTCTAAAATTCAGTATTGGACTTCACTTTCGGTGAATCAATCTCTAATTTTGTGCTTTTACTTTCATTTTCATTTTCATTTAGAACGCAACCTGAACCCAAAAGCGGCATGTCTGAAGCGACGTGAAGAGGAGAAAGTGTCCGGGGTGGTTGGAGACACTCAAATGCAGCTCTCCGGACCACATCCAGGACTGGGAGGAGATGGACGCAACTCTGTCAGTCACATGTGATCATGTGGTATGTTAATGTCCATTTAAACATTGCCTCACTTGGTGTAATCCAGGTTATGCAAACACTTTTTGGTCACTAGTTAGATTTTTTCACTATTGTTAATACAGTTAATAGTATTCAATGGTTAGACACCAAAAATTAGAGCTGCATGTTATCGCAACTGTATCGATTAACACTTATTTTAATAGCACTGTTAAAAGTGGTCTCAAGCAAATATCAAAAACAAAATAAATTATGCAATGTTGTAATGCCTTTTGTCATTTATTTTGACAAAATGCTATGGAATTTAAATATCTGCCATTTATCAGCCATAACATTTAAAATAATTTCTCTTATTAGTCTAAAAAAAATCAAGTGTTAATTTAGTTGTGTGTATTAGGCATGGGCCGGTATGAGATTTTGACGGTATGATAACCGTAAGAAAAAATATCACAGTTTCACAGTATTGTTGTTACAGCTCTAAAATGTGTCAATTTAAAATGTCTGGGTAAAATAAAACTGAACACAATATATTTTGAGCAACATACAGAATATTTGGAACAGTAATATATTTTTTTTTTTCTTTGATTTGTTTCTGAAATGTGGAGCTTTTGATGTAGATGGTTGATTTGCTGCTAGAGCTACTGCTGCCCTAAAAAGAAGAAAAATAAAGACTGACATCTTTATTTAACTTAAATCAGTAATTACAGTTATTTAATTTTAGTTATATAATTCATATACATATCATTTATTAATATAATTTCATATACATAATTTGATTTAATAATAACCCAATTTGAAGCAAAAACAGAATGTTCTGACCAGCTTTGTGAAATTATACTACATGCCTGAACGAATCAAACAGCAGAAGCTCTGAATGAGATGCAGATTCACTCTCTGACAGCAGGAGGCGCTTCTGGAACACCAGATGCAGTGTTTCCTTGGTTACCGCTGTAAACAAAGCAGAGCTGCGCTGAAACACTGCTTTAATATGAATTATACAAGATGAAAAGAAAATACCATGTAAACTTTTCTGAAGGCCGTCAGTTCCCCTCAGAAACACATTCATATTAACCCCCAAATCAATATTGATTTGTGCATCATGAACAGTGAGTGATCTGCCTGCTACAGTATTTTTCTCTGTGCGTCCGTCTTCAGCATCTCTGGCCTGTTTTAACGGGCGTTTACACACTTCATATTTTCACATAAACAACATTTGGAAAATGATATGCATTGCAACGCAGTTTGTGCAAGTCCAGAACAGAGATCGGCTGCAATAAAACAATAAACGGCCGGTTGCCGATCGCGTAAGTTCCAGAGGAAGCTCCTTCGGCCATCCTACACACACGTGACTGACCGATCGCTCGCACCAACAGGTGGAGGAGGGTCGTGTTACTCTACACTGCACTCAACCTTAGGGATTCCTACACTTTCAGTCTTTTGGCGCTTTTCCACTGCACTGCACGGTACGGCTCGGTACGGTTCACTTTTGGGGGGTTTTCCACTGGGTACAGTACCTGGTACCTGGTACTTTTTTTAGTACCACTTCTGTTGGGGTTCCAAGTGAACTGTATCGTTACCAAAACGTGACGTGTAAACTCTGCTGATCACGGATTGGCCGGAGAGAATCGTCACTACCTGCGTCACTGAACTTGCGACACAAACACAAAAGAACCGCTAGATTTAAATCAGCACAGCCAGCGATGGATCGAACGCAACTGTTTTGAACGAGCGCACCTTTTTTTAACAACCAAAAAGTTTTGTTGTCTGTTGCGGAAGAATAGACGTTCCTCTCGTTGATAGCAGAGGAGCGGATCCAGCGAGAGCTTGATGGGGCGACGCGGAATGAAAAAGTTTTTCAGGAGTCGTGGTAGTAGAGGCGGCGCAACTATAACGACACGTGAATAATCCCGCCCACTCTAAAGCGGTACTGAACTGCAGTGGAAACGCAAACCGTACTGAGCCGTACCGAGCCGAGTCGTACCACGCAGTGGAAAAGCGCCATTTGAGGAGACATGAAAAGCAGCACATACCGCAGGAACGGTATAATGGAAAATATTAGCGGTTTTAAAACCGTGACATTTTCAAATCGCGGTATACCTTGAAACCGGTAATCGGCCCATGCCTAGTGTATATGTGATATTATAGTATTTAATATTTTAAATCGGCTTTTTTCTTTGTATTTTCAGTTATTTTCTATATTTCTATGTAGCTTTAATTCATTTTTAATTGTTTTAGAACTTCAACTTATTTCAGTTAATTTCCAATGCAAGTTTTTCATCTAATACTTATACTTTATTTTAACAACATTTGTTAATATTAGTTAACTACATTGACATTGAGAAATACTTTTAAAGGACTTAAGAATTTTTTGTTAATGTTAACTTCAACATTTACTAATACATAAAGAACAGTAGTTGTCTGTTAATATCTAATTAGCTTAAGCTGACAAACAATGAACCGTTGCATTTATTCACTAACGTTAAAGATTCATTGTTAATTAATGTTAGTTAATGCATTAACCAGCATGAAGTAATTACTGTAAAGTGTTACTTTTATTTTAAAGTAGCTTCATTTCAGTTACTTGAAATGATATTTTATAGTTTTAGTTAACAATAACAACTCTGACTGAAATCTGTTTTCTATTCTTAGAACCAGTGAACTATCTTGGGGCTCCTGGAAAGAAGTGACCTTGAATCTCTTCCACCGTTCTCATCCTCTCTGTGTGCATATAGTGACTCGGAAAGCATATCATCCACAAAATCAGAGATGCACCTTCCAAAACTTTTCGGACACACACACCGACCCGCCAAAACTGACACAGCAGATTTTGTCCGTGATCACTCCAGACCGCAATTACCAGCACAAATGTGAAGAACTCTTTCTCAAGTCATTTTGTATTTTTCTGCTTCCTTTCAACAATGGATCATAGGAATAGACCAGTTCTGACCACAACTGACATTTGTTTTTCCACTTCAGAAAGAGAGTTTTGATCAAGAGACGAGACCGACGTCAATTTAATCATGGATTTGTGCCTAATTGTTACGTTTTATATAAGATGCAAACTGCTTACTTGTGTGGAACAAAAAAAGTTTGGGAGTTGCTTGTATATGAGCAATTTTTCTTTTCATTTTTAAATGTAGTTTGTCATTCCCTACTGAAAGGTACAGTCTTACGTGCGTTGTGTAACCAAACCCCATGAGAAGTGGGGCGAACTTGTGGTGCTTTTGAGGACGGTGTATCCCAGCATGCCTCTGCTCTATGGGCCAGGGCTCTTTCGGAACGAGAGAAAAGCACACGGGCCATCGCAGCTCTCCAGACTGTTTCATCTTCTTGGAAACATCACGCGTCATCAGCTCTCACGATGCCATTGACTAGTTCAGCCAATCGGAAGAAAGCGCATCATAAACTAGCGTGAGCTTCTGTTACTACATACAACGCTTGGATTCCATTACGTCCCCAAGCACAAAATTGCCAAGTTGACCTTTCACTTATTTCCTTTATTTTTTTCACCAGAATATGTTCAATCATCACTCGCTCGCATCGACTCATTGTTGCCAAAAGTCTGAAAGCGTACACATGTCCACCTCACACATATGTAATGGATATTATTTCGATTTGAGAAAAAAATGTAAGAATATATATATAAATATATATATTTTTGTTAGTCTATACATTGTAGAATTCTAAATAACAAAAACATATTAGTTTGAAGTGTAGAGTCTATAGCGCAAGTGAACGTTCAGAGACACGTCGTACGATTTCAAGAAAAACCCTGCGTATATTTTCAGAAACGTAAGGTTTGGCCGAGGTGAGCCATGGTTCATTTTGTTCCAGACGCCCCCTGATAGCTCTATGCTAATGAAGAAATGATAAAGAGAATTGATAGTGATGGTTTAGGGCGTGTCGAGGTTCAAAGCCTCGCGATAGTTTCCTGATTTCAGGGAACTGTACGTCACTAGAAGTGTTCTTAGGCAATGGTGTAGAGCGCAAGCAACGTTCACCATCATTTCAGTCTCGCCAATGCACATAATGCAACCTGTTTGAATGTAATATTCAAATGTACACAGTCTCACGTCTCCATCAGACTGGCTTACTGTGAGTTTAGTTGATTCATATTGTCATTTCAAGGTGTATGTCTCAACCCCCTACTTTTCGTCATGTGCGTGAGATAATGTTCCGCGCTGGTTTGAATTATGTATGTAGGAAAAAAATGGTGTTATAACGGTGTAATTTTCGCAATGTCCACAATGGATATGATTTCTGAGTAATAACATTTCACCGTAAGGGGGATACTGAACTTAGGTTGTTCTAAAGTATAATGGAAACATAATATCAATTCTTGATGAAGATAAAAAGTTGTTGAACATTTATATATCGTGGCCTTCTTATTCTCAAGACTGTCATTTTTGAGAGTGATGCCTTGTCAGTGCCTAAACTTACTTTCATTGTAAACTTGACCATTTGTTTTATTTCGAAAATGCAAAATTGTCTCATCCATCTTTTTGGTTTTGTTTTTCTTTCTGGAAGCATCTGTGTAGTATTTAATCTGCCATTTAGAAGCATTGTAGTCTTTCATTCTCATTATTATGCTGTGTGTGTGTGTGTGTGTGTGTGTGCACCTTTTTGGCAATTTTAGGATTCTCGTTCCGGTCATCTTTGGCTTGACTAGGTTGGAATTAGTTTTTTTTTTGCTTTCAAGATGCTAGTGTCCTGTGATCTGTGAAGCACACGAGAAAATGTAAGGATCTTTGTCGAATTATCAGATGGGGGCCGGAAACACGTGACTGTTATGAGTAATTCTCAATTTATCCAGCTGATAACATCATGTTTGTTTTGATAATATCCACAAAATATTTGAGTGCTGGACTTGGTTTTGCCTCCTGCTTAATGCTGAAGGAGAGTTGTCGTGTCATCAAAGATTCTCCTGTCTATAATTACTTTATTTTTCTCCCCAAAGCATTGAATGTTCAACTAAAGTGAACATTTTGAATGAATCGTGGTGTGCCGAAGTAAGATTGCTGCCCATGGTTTCCATCAGAATTAAGATGTGTGTGAATTTTACAGAACCTGGTGTCTTGCAGTTGCAGTAGGGACATGAACAATACTGCTGTTGTGTCTTCAGAGTGCCTCCGGTTTTTGTCATTATTATAATTTTTTTGTCTTTGTTTTTATAAATATATATATAAAGTAGGTATTGAGAACTGTCCTGTATATAACCGTAATGTAGCAATAAATGTGCCATTTTTAATAACAAAATGATACAAAAAAAATTTCAATGTCTTGCTTTGGATCTTGTATACCTTCAAATGAGTTAAATAAAAAAAAAACATTGTAATAAAAGTCTTACCATTACGTGTCTTTGCCGAGAAATGCTTGGAGTAAAGAGAAATAAGGCCCATTCAGACCAAGAGAACGATATACCGTCCACACACCAACGGACCATATCGTTCTGTTAAAAGCGCGCGATGCAGCTACGTCATCTGCCGCTTAAGATGCCTTGTGTTTTTTGGATTCTTTCCAATGTTTTTTTTTTTATTGTTCATCGACTGACAAAAAAAAGTTCTTAAAGTGATTCCAGCTCAGTGTCGTTATGGTCAAATATAACCCGATTGTTTATAACCTTTACAGTCTTTGGTGTGAACGGGCCTTCAAATCAATCATAACAAAAAAATTGCAGCGCAAAACCGATAGCTTTCAAAGATTTGATGCCACATAGGCTACATCAAAATTTGTTTAATTCTTCTAGACTAGTTCTTTCTCATTAGTAGCCAGGTAACTTATGAACTTTTGTTGGTAGGTGAACTGATAAAAAGTCCAGACTGGAAGTGACTAATTTAACACGGTCTTGCTATTGGGGGTTTTTTTTGGTTTGGTATTTTTTAACTAGGGTGAATTCGGGTAATCTGGGACACCTAAACTCCAGTGTGTTTATTTCCTGTTCTAACAAAATTTAGTCAACAGGACTTTTACTATAATTTTAGCGTGGAAGTCATGTGACTGAAATCACATGACTTCATGGGGGGGGAGTCCACAGAAAGGGGCGGGGCACTTGTCAATCAAGAAGCTCTCCTGGGAATTGCATGACAAGGTCAGTGACAGGATTCTGACTAGATTAATGTTAGCGACATAAATCTGTCATAAATAAGACAATGTTCCTAATTGTTGTCAAATTATGTTTGGGATCTATTCAAGCAACAAAATATGTATTAAAGTGTTGAAAATGTGTTTTCGTTTTTTTTCTTTCAAACATTTTTTTTGTTGTCCCACATTATCAAATATGATAAGTAAATACTCCGATATGAGTATGTGGGACAGCATGCTTTGGGTAATCTGGGACAGTCTTCAAATGGGGGAAATATGCATTTAGGGACTTTAGAAGTCTAATGACAAGGGCTAATATACACTCTTAAAAGTAAAGGTGCTTCACGATGCCATAGAAGAACCTTTTTGTCTAAATGGTTCCATAAAGAACCTTTAACATCTGAAGAACCTTTCTGTTTCACAAAAGCTTCTTTGTGGCGAAAAAAAGGTTCTTGAGATTATAAAAAGGTAAGAAAGAGATGGTTCTTTAAAGAACCTTTGACTGAATGGTTCTTTGTGGAACCAAAAATGGTTCTTCTATGGCATCGCTTGAAGAACCTTTTGAAGCACCTTTATTTTTAAGAGTGTATGCCATAATGAGAAATGGGTGTTAATGTGGACTACTGGAGGTTATAACATTAGCATAAGTTCACAGTAAACCAGCTAACTAGAGAGATGCTACAGAGATGGAATCTGGGAAACGTATTCCAGTAGCAAGCAAAGGTATCAGGATGAAGTAAACCGTTAATTTCATTTCCCAAATTCCCAGTTAGTTTAGTACTATATACAACGGTTCAAACCACTGAGCAGGAGGGGATCTGCGCCCAGGCCAGTTGACAATGTTCTGTGCACAAACACACACGCACTCACACATTGGTATCACGAAACATGTGCAGAAGATAATGGCGTGATAGGTGATGATGGGTCTCTCACCTGCAAGGAGTGTTTGTTCCCCGAGTAGCCCCAATTTTAATAGAATGGAGAACTTGAATAACCGAATGAATAATCCATTAATCGAATTGTTGCCTGCTGTTGCTTAAATTTGAGCTGATTTAAAAAAAATGTTAATACAATGTTAAACAATTTTATTAAGAGTTTTAAATTAATTTTAATGAATTAACACAGTAGATCGTTAATCCTGTGGAGAGATAGAAATGATGTTTCCTGATATTGGAATATACATTTTCTTATTGAGATTTCTGTAGGCCGACTTGTCATTTTTTTCATAATGCTTTTTAAAAATGGGAGATATTGTGTTTGGCATGCATAAAGTATGGTGAATATAGGCTTTTATTAGGTCAATGTTCCAGATTACATAGTGACCTGTCCCAGATTATCAGATTCAGGCAGAATGTTTTTTTTGGGCACAAAAACACTAATAGGTGTGGCATGTCTCCTCTGGGTATAATATCTACATTCTTTCTTCTGGTGTGGTTCGAAAACATCTTAGGGATTTCAGAAAAGTCGAATGTGTTGATCTAATGTGTTAGATAGATATCGAAATATCAAAATTGCCAATATGTCCCAGATTACCCGAATTCACCCTATTTTTCACATACAGACAAAAGACAAACAACAATACATATTTGCATGTGTATAAATAGAAGAATAAATAAATGTAATAAAATTAGCGAAAACTAAAAAGGCTAGGGGGAAAAGGGCTTAAATAATAATAACAATAACAATACTACTACTACTATAATATGTTGTTGCCGTTCTCTCTCTCTCTCTATCAGCTTAATGGCTTTTTCTTGAGATAAATATCTCCTGTGCATTTAATAAACTTTATTCAAGACAATTACACATCACCAGCATTTTATGCCATTTTCATCGCAAAGCCTTATTCTAAAATGTTGACTATGCTATTCACAATCTACAAATCTGTTTTATGCAAATACAGTCTCCACGGTTCCAGAATTTTCTATCAGGCTAATAACGGGCAGTCCGGGGTCCTGAATCAGCCATTTGAACTTGTTTACCTTCTGAACAGAGAGAGAGAGAAAATGATGCAAAAAATAATAAAGCGGATCGGACCCAAATATGTCTCCATTGCCAGAACGTGGTAAATTCATCTTTCAGTCAATGAACTGTTAAGTAGAAGCAGCTCATCTGACAGTCGGCGTGTGTTTCCACGGTTATAATTCCAGAATAGCAGGCTAATAATGAGTAATTATAGCTTTTTTTGACATACTATTGTTTGTTTTCTTGCAATTCAGGGTTCCCACGCTGGTCGGATGGGGTACAGTTGGTGGCCTGGCTGTTGTCTATTTTACAGACTGGCGGGTGATTCTGGATTATGTTCCCTACATTAGAGGCAAATTCAAGAAGGACGACTAGTTGTCCAGATCTGTGGAAATCGGTTGCTGTGCATTTTCACAGGGAACAAACCAAGCTGATGCTTTGACTAGCCAGGATATGCGGCGCTGGTGATGTGACATTCAGCCATAAAGACCGAAGATCTGTCACTTCATTTTATGTGTTGAATCATATCTAATGATGTTGTTTTGTGTGTGTGTAAATCAGACTAGCATGTCTTGCTAACAAGTTGTTGTCTGTACAGGGAGTTGGAAATGGTTCTTTTTTATGCTTGGCACATCACTCCGCTTGAGTTTGCACACTGAAGTATAATTAATGCGACAGTTTGTACATATTCCTTGTACTTCTTAATAAACTGTGCACTTTTTGTTGATGGAAATCAGCGCCTCTTTGAGGAGGCATCTTGCTTTCTTACCCATACAAAATGTTCCCATGGTAACCATGGTTTCTGCCAAAATGCCCCTCACGAAAAAAGACAATCTCCCAGAATCCCATGCACATGTATTCCAGCACAATCCCACAGGATTTTCGTATGGGATTTCCTGCAGGACTTTTAAAATCCCACAAGACTCGCGCAGGAAGCCTACTAACGTTACTGTACAACTTCTTTAACAGGAACCTGACAAGTAGTGAACTGTACTTACAATAACTAAAACAAATTAGTAATAATAAGACGATAACATCTTACATGGCTTTGAAGAACAACCACAGTAACTGTTGTTACCATGCTATTTTTTTGTACTCAACAAAGCTAATTCACACAGCCTAAAACATACTGTAATATGAAAATGCATGTCCTTCGATTAAATAACGCGACAAATCTTTGCTACATGAAACAAAACAATGCATTGTATTGTCACCATGTAGTTTGTCGTTACCCGACTACCGCAGGGCTTTGTCTCGTTAAGTCAACCCTAATCGGGCATAATGTCTTTCATTTGTCTCATTGAAGGGGGAGGGGAGTGAAAGTATAGAGGAAGAGAGGGGGATTTAACATTCACAAAAAGGCGACACCAACAGAGAATGCGCGATGGAGAAAAACGAGTAAGTATAACCGATTGGAAATCGTATTAAATCGCGATCCGCATCTGCATTTATAGTCATGCTGGTTTACGAGCTAAGCGATCGCTTTTGTTGATTTGAGTCGACTAGTCTCCGCTTTGCCGGGGCTACTAGTTTGCGCAGTGCTTTCAATCGGCGATGGTCTTAAAGAAAGACAAAAAACCGCATAATTAATGTAATAGAGTAACACGGCGGCCTGTACGGCTACATGCATGAACAGATAAAATGAAGTATTTGGAAGCGTGTTTTGTCTTAACATGAAAAAAGCGAAAGGTTTTGCTAAATGAACTGTTTATTTAACCTTGTTTTAACGTCGCGCTGGACCAGGTGCAGCATCTGCGATTGTCATTTTAACGCACGATGTTCATAAGATACGTAGTTTTGACCAAACGTAGTCTTTCATTCAGTTTCTCGATAAAAAGATGTGTGCCTATGTCTCCGGTTTGACTGGTAATGCATTTGTTTACATTCACAATTGGTCGAGGTTAGGCAAAATATGATACTGTGGTCACATAACAAAGAGATGCCGGAATTGCAGCAGTGTCTGCAACGAAAATACGCATACATTTATTATACCACGAGTGCCACTACAGGGTTATGGCATCTGTATGATGCATGAGGCATAAGTGTAGCCTATTTTCCAAGCGGAGGAATCTTATATTGAGCAGAAGAGCCCAAAGTGATGAGGCTACGATACGGCGGAACGTTTTGCAAAGTGACAAAGCAACATTGTTGAAAATAGACACTGTACTGCTGCATAAAGGTCTTTTGTAGTTATTATTAAGTAAAAACATTAGATAATAAGCATGTGAGATATGGACTGTCTCATGGAGTGAAAAGTGGGAGTGCTGGGATTGAGGAGGGATTAAGCCATGTGTGTGTTATGTTAGGTACTGAGTACAGAGGGGGGATTGTCATGTAAAAGTAGGCCCAGCTGTGGAGAGGATTTTGTGTGCTTTATTTCAGAAGAGGGTGGGGGTGCATGTCAGTTGAGTATGTGAATCGAATCCAAATTGAATTGGCTCTTTTTTTTCCTAATGATTCGGCTAGACCGGTTTAGAATTACAAAAAGTTACAAACCCAATTCCAAAAAAGTTGGGACACTGTACAAATTGTGAGTAATGTTTCCAGCTAATACGAGTCTTCTATCTATAACATTGCTTTGTCCATTGAAAAAGTCATCTCGTCTGAAACAGGAGAGACATATGCACTGTTTATAAAACGGTCCAAAACAGTTCTAAACAAATATATGTAGCTGTAAGAAGACAACAGGGGATGGGATTTTTCACTGAAGGAAGAGTTATTAAGAGTGAATTATGGACTCAAATTTCAGCTAGAAGTGACACTTTAAAGTTGAAATGACTTTATGATGGATACGTTTCTCAAAAACACGCAGCTTTTCATTTCTCAAGATGTTAATTGATGGACTGTAGTCGTGTGGATTACTTGTGATGTTTTTATCAGCTGTTTAGACTCTCATTCTGAGGGCACCCATTGAAAATGCAGAGGGTCCATTGGTGAGAAAGTGATGTAATGCTAAATGCTAAAAATGTAGCTCATCTACATAAGGGTGACCATACGTGCCATTTTCCCAGGATGCGTCCTGGCCAGGATTTCTATATTGCCTAAAATATCTAGGTTTTGGCTTTGTTTGCGTGTGCAGACCGATCGGTGTATGACATCAAAATACCATACAGACGGTTCCTTATGCTTTCAAAATGCTCTTGAGGTATTTTGATGTCAT